CTGTGACTTCACTACCTGGCTTCAGTCTTTCTACTCCAACCTCTGAAATCATTCCCCTGCCATCTTTCTCATTTTCAATATCTTCCTATCTACATGCCTACAAACATGTTCATTGCTATGCCATATTTACCTTTTATCCAACCCTGTCATTCTCAAGCTATCATCCTATGTATGACTCACCTCCCATTCATTGCCAAATTAGGCAGCTAGGTGGTGAAGTGGATAGAGCACTGGGCCTGGAGGAAGACCCAGATTTAAATGTGGCCTCAGACACTTACTAGTGAGTCAGTTATCCTCTGTCAATCTCAGTTTCCTCATCTGTAAAATGGGGATGATACTAGCACCTACCTCCCGGAGTTGTGAGGTTAAAATGAGATATTTGTAATGTGCTTTGCAAACCTTAAAACACTATATAAATGCTAGTTACTATTTTTATTAATAAATTCCTGGAGTCATCTACCTCTTGGTTACCTCCATTTCCTTATCACCCACTCACTTCTGAATCCCTTGTGATCATCTTTCCAATCCCACCACTTGAATAAAACTGCTCTTTTCAAGGGAGCCAGAAATCTCTTACCTTTGAAATCAGATGACCATTTCTTGGTTGTTGTCCTATTTGACTTCTCAGTAGCTTTTGACCTGTTGCCACTCCCCATCACAACCTGCACACCCCTAAAACAAACACTCTCCTTTCTTGCTTTCCCTTCTTCCTGTTGGACTATTCCTTTTCAGTCTCCTTTTCTGGGTCACCACCTATGTCCTACTTTCTCCTCCTGGGTGCTTCCTAAGCTTTTCTTTTCCCCCTACAGATTCTCTCTGTCTCTTTCTGTCTCACTACATCTCTTGCTTCCATGAATTTCCACAAACTGTCACCCACTCTGAGAATGGGCTGTCATACAGAAGAGGGAATAGAGTTGTTTTAAAAATAATTTTTATATATATCGTTCTTTTACATCACCTACATTTCCTAATGTATTCCCTCTCTCTTTCCCAGCTTCTCTCTCTCCTTCTCTGTCTCCCCCATCACCCTCTCTCCCTTCCCCCCTCCTTCATTCCTTCTCTCTCCCCCTTTTCTCCCCCTCCTCTTTTTCTCCCCTTCCTTCTCTCTCTTCTTCTCCTCTTTCTACCTCCCTCTCTCTGTCTCTGTCTCTTTCTCTCCCCTTCCCCCATAGAGCAGTCCCTTACAACAAAGAATAAAAAGGCAGAAAAAAACACATTCACTGCTAAATTTCTAGAAAAATATAATCTACACTAGCTGCCTTCACTTCCTCACCACCCACTCACTCCTCAATCGCTGCATTTGAGCTCCATCTTAACTGAAATTACTTTCGTTAAGGTCACCAATAGCCTCCTAATTATTAAACCATGGGATCATAGAATTTAGAAATCATTTCCTCCAACTAATTCATTTTGCAAATGGGCAAACTGAGACCTAGAGGGGGATAAGTGACTTGTAAGTGATCAGTGACAGGGTTTGCACCAGGATTCTCTGATTCAAACCCAGGGCTCATTCCACTACAACAGTTTACCTCTACCAGTGGCCTCTTAGTCCTTGTCCTGCTTGACATGCCTTTAAACAGGACTGACCAAACCTTCCTCTCCATGTGCACTGCACCCTTGGCCTCTGAGATATGGTCCTTTACCTGTCTGCATATGAGTCTTACTCCTAGATGGGTTCATTTTTCTCCTCCTGTGCCTTGTGTGTGGGTGCCCTCTAATGCTCTGTCCTGGGCCCTCTCCTCTTCTCTCTTGGCAAATTTCATCCACTCCCTTGGCTTCAGTTATTGCCTCTGTGCGGATGAGTCTATCTATATTTGAAAATAAAATCTCTATTTTCGGCACCAGCTTCTGCCCTGAATTTCAGTTGGACATCTCCAATGGCCTGTCCCATCAGCCTCTCAAACTCACCATGTGCAAAACCAAGCTTAGGTTCTTTTTGACTTCAGTCTGTCTGTCAATGGTGCCATCATTCACTCTGTCTCCTGTATTCTCATTGACTCTTCCCCTCTCCCTCCTCCCTGGCATCCTAGCAGTTGCCAAATCCTATTGATTCTGACTCTGAAACATGTCTTCAATCTCTCCTGTCTTTTCTATCTTAGCTCTCTAGTTCAGGCTCTCATCACCTCTCTCCTAGACTATCTTAATAGCCTCCTAATCGGCCTTCCTGACTACAGTCTTTTTCTTTTTGAGAATATGTTTTACTGATGCTTTTTTTAAATCACTTTTTTCTTTTTCTTCTTTTCTATTTTCTTCTTGTAGTTTTGGCTTTTCAACATACATCTTATATTATGAACTTAACCAAATATCAATAAAATGAACATTTCAATATAAAAAAATAAGAAAAAGAGGATTACATATGAAATGGTAATATAAGTTTACCTGTATTAATTGTATTACTCAAAATATAGTTTTAACTGTATTACTTGGTAATAACTGTATTAATAGTAATATAGTTAATATAGTTTTAAATGTATATTATGATCCTAGCAAAACTGGCATGCTTGTTGGCATCTCCTTCCGAAATTCCATCTGTTTTATTCTGAGTAATTATATACATTTTTCACTTTTTTCTTTCTTTTTTTTAAAAAATTAATTAATTTATTTTTAGTTTTCAACATTTACTTCCATAAGATTTTGAGTTTTAAATTTTCTCTCCCTCCCTTCACTCCCTCCTCCCCAAGACGATATGCAATCTGATAAAGGTTCTACATATACATTCATATTAAACATATTTTCACATTAGTCATGTTGTAAAGAAGAATTAGAACCAATGGGAGCAGGGTAATTATATTAATGTTTAATTGACAGTTTTTTCCTTTCCTTTCTTTTTTTCTTTTTGTATCATTATACTGTCTCTACCCCTACCTCTCCCCCACAATTTTCCTTCCTCCCACAAATAGAAATCCTTTCTGGTAACAAAAAAGTATAGTCAAGCAAAACAAATTAAATCATTGTCTGTTTCTGAAAATGTTAAGTCTCATTCTGCATCATTAGTCTTCTGAAGTCATGATTGGTCACTGCATTGATTAGAATTCTTAATTCTTTCAAAGATGATTTCCTTTTCATGGTCATTGTAGAAATTGTTCCTCTGGTTCTGCTCACTTCATTCCGCATCAGTTCATGAGTCCTCCTAGGTTTCTTGGAATCCATCATTTCTTAGGGCATAATGATAAAGTGAATATAGAAGCCTATCTTCAAGGAGGGTTGCTCTTGAGAACAGACCCCAAAATCTGAAACAGTTTTAGAGGTCATTTGTTAGAGGAGAGCAAAATAGAAAGGAGGTGTGGCTGTCTTTTTTCCAGGCTCTGGAAAGTTTACATTATGTAGGAGTTAGACAAGACACATTTACACAATTAAGCGTTTTTGCCAAGAGGGCAACTTGAAAGCAAGGTAGCTTGAGATAGATATGAGGAACTGTAAAATTTGTAAGATTTCAATAAAATTTGGGTGAAGCCAGAACAGAAGCTTGGGTGGAGTCACCACAAGTCCTAGGTGTGGTAATCCAAAACAATCGTGTGTTCAGGGACAACTTGCACTTCTGATATGAGGTCTTGTCAAGCCCTTTTCAGGGCTACTCATCCATCTTTGGTGTCCACCTGTCATCCAACTCTCACCTGTGGCTCCAAGAAGCTATAGCATGAACAGCAATCACACTCCAGTAAAAAACTGTCTCAGCAGATGGGCTGAGGGTAATCCAGGTTGAGGGTAACCAATGGTCCTCAAACCTGTTGAGTTAGGGGGATGTCTACCCCAAGCATGTATAGATGTCCACCCAATGAAGGAACAGTTTCTACAATGACCATGAAAAGGAAATCACTTTTGAAAGACTTAGGAATTCTAGTCAATGCAGTGAGCAGTCATGACTTCAGAAGACTAATGATACAGAATGATACTTAACATTTTGAGAAATGGAAGGAATAGTCAGATGAGAACAGATTGTTGTCCTGCCACTGGACTTTGATGACTCTGGAAGACAGAGTGAGGCTGATGACTTTGTGCAACTCTGCCTCACTTAAATCCAGTTCACTCTCAAGTCAAGACATCACCCCATGATGTCCTCATCAAAAACAGAGGACGAACCACAACCCAAAATGAGAATGCTTTTGGGGGGGGCAGAAATTCAGGACCTGGGGGAACTCAAAATACCTTGTAGCCATCTCCAGCATTCCTGGAGAGTTATTGGAGTCAGGTGACCTTCTGGGTGCTTTAAACATTCTGGGTGACTTAAACAGTGCCTGACTTATACTAGTCACTTAATAATAATAATAATGATTATTATTATTATATTGGCTCAGCCTAACCATGAGCAACTGATATTTTTCCAACTATTTAAATCTGACTTTATCTGTGTGAAAAGTATTTTATAGCTGTGTTCACATAGTTCCTGGGTTTGTCTTGGCAGGTAAACTCCCATGTATTTTATATTGTCTACAGTTATTTTACCTTTGTGTGTGTGTGTGTGTGTGTGTGTGTGTGTGTGTGTGTGTGTGTGTAATCAGGGTTAAGTGACTTGCCCAGAGTCATGCAGCTAGTAAGTGTCTGAGGCTGGATTTGAACTCAAGTCCTCCTGACTCCAGGTCCAGTGCTCTATCCACTGTGCCACCTAGCTGCCCCTATAGTTATTTTAAATGGAATAAATTCTTACTGAATGAATTGAAGGAGAGGAGTAGACAAGAGGCAGGAATGTCTAGAAAGGTCCAAATCGTGGAGCTGACCAGGAGAGGAAGCAGGATCAGCATGAAAGCACAGAATATCCAGTGTCCATGTGTTGTGTGTACATGTGTGTTTGTGCTAAAAGTATTTAAAAGGGAAGGGTCATCAGAAATGGGGGCAGGCACTTGTTTTGAAGAGACACCTTGGCTGGTTCTGTAGTCTTACCTGAGGTTCATTCCCTTGGACCTTTGGTAAACTGAGGTTCTCCTTCCCTAAACTCCTCCCTTGTTCTGGGACCTCCCCCAGGCCTCTGGCAGTAATGGTCTTTTCTTTTCTTTTTCTTTCAGGAATCTTTTGGATAAAGACATGTTCTCCAAGTCAGACCCATGTAAGTCCCTATACTGCTCTGAGACACTGTTTGCTATTTCACTGATACTGCCTGGTGGCTGGATAGAGGCTCCTGAGGAAACTGAGGCAAACAGGGTGAAGGTACTTACCCAGGGTCACACAGCTAATAAGTGTTTGAGGCCAGATTTGAACTCAGGAAGATGAATCTTCCTGACTCCAGACTTCCACTGTGCCACCTACCTTCCCCTTGAAAGAACCGTGTAAAAGCCCACCAGACTTTACTGATTTAGTAGAGGGTCCCCCATTCTCTCCAGGGTCCCAGTCTTTGTGTCCATCCTCCTTGACCACCCCTTCGTTTTGTGAGTACTTCCCCTCAGTGAAGCTGGTTTTTAGCCATCTTGTTGTAAGCTCCATGTTTCCTTGTATTAGGTTTTGGGGTCTCCTGAACCTTCCTAAGTCTCTATTAAGACAGGAGGGAATAGTGCTGGTGAACATAGTATAAATTTTAAGATTCTCAAACTATTGCAGTTTCACAGATTTAGAACTGGCAGGGACCTCAAAGGCTATTTAATTCAGCCCCCTCATTTTACAGATGAGGAAGCTGAGGCAGCTAAGGCACAGAGAACAGAAGTGACTTACCTAAGATCACATAGCTGGTAAGTGTCTTGGGCAGAATTTGAACCCTAGAAGGCATGAGGTCAAATGTGGTCTCAGAGAATTTACTAATTGTGCGACCCTGGGCTAAATCTGCCTCAGTTTCCTCATCTGTAAAATGGGAACACTTGAAGGGTTGTTGCAAGGCTCAAATGAGATAATCTTTGCAAAGCACTTAGCACAGTGCCTGGCACATGGTAGGCACTTAGGAAATGCTTGTTCTTTCTTTTCCTATTCCAGATGCCAAATCCAGCACTCTGTCTACTATGCCTTGCTACCTTTATCACTTATCATAGAACATTAGACATTGCCCTGATCCAAGGACATGCAGGCCAGCCCTCTCCTCTTTTAGAAGAGGAAACTGAAACTAGAAGAAATTAAGTGATTGACCCAAGGTCACACAGGTAATAAGTGGCCCTTGTGGATCTCAGCTGTGAGGCCCATGAAGTTGTGATTGAAATGGAAACACTCTTGGACCAGGAATTAGGAGACCTGCTTTCTGGTTCTGGTTCTGTGGCTAACTAGCTATGTGACCTGGAGCAATCCGAGTAACCTTTCTGGGACTCAGTTCCCTCATCTGTAAAAAAAGAATAAATTATATGGCTCTCTCACTCTCTCTCTCTCTCACTGTCTCTCCCTATCCCTTCCCCCACCCTATCTTACCTCCTCGTAAGGTAATTTTGAGAATCAAATGAGATAATTATATAAAAGCACTTTGGTGATCACTCCCTTCTTCAGAATGTTCAGCTCTTCCTCTTATCAGATTCTTCCTTTTATTGGACTTTCTGCCTCCAAAGTGCATTCGCTCCCACTGCCCTCCCTACATTCCATGATTCCAGGATTCTCCAGTTAAATTTGTGTCAAATCCCTCTGCTCCCAGCCTCTCCCCCTCCCCCACAGTCATCTGAATCTGCCTCCCTCTCTGTCACGTGAGCTCCGAAGACCTAGCTTAGGCCTTGCAGATTGACAGAATTCAATTAAACCAAATATTTGTTAAACTTGGACTATATGCACGGCTCTGGGGATACAAAGCAGAAGAAAGAACCTAGCCCCTGATCTTGAGTAGTTTATGGTCTAATGGAGGGGATGGAGGGAAGAAGGAGGAGTGAACACATGTCTATTTGATTCGTCGCTTTAGATCTGCCTTGGCCCAAGCCAGTGAAGGTGAGAATAGAAGCCAAATCAACAAGGTAAGAGGCAGTGTGATATAGTGGAAGGAATGTTAGATTTGGAATAAAAAAGCCCAGATTCAAGTCCCAGTTCTGCCATTTGGTAGCCTTGTGGGTTGTTTTTTTTTTTTCCTTTTCCTCAAAGCATTCTTTAGGACTCAGTTTCTTACCCTGTAAAATGAAGGGGGTGGGTTAAATGATGTCAAATATCATTTCCACTTTGACCTCAGGTAAGGCATCTATTGGGGAGTGAGGCCCACAAATATCCTAGGCCTAGCCTTCCCACTCTCAACTCTAAGGATTTTCATTGGCTTGTCCCTCATACCCGGGACTCTCTCCTTCCTTACCTTCACCTCCTGGTTTTCTTCAAGTCTCATCTTCTGCAAGAAGCTTTTCTCAGTCTCCCTTAATGCTAATGCCTTCCCTCTGTTGATTATCTCCAATTTTTCTCTCCGTATCTTGTTCATACATAGTTATTTGCATGTTGTCTCCTCCACTAGGGAGCTAGGGCAGCTAGATAGCACAGCGCATAGAGCACTGTCTCTGGAGTCAGGAAGACCCGAGTTCAAATCTGGCTTCAGACATTTACTAGCTGAGTGACCCTGGGCAAGTCCCTTAACCCCGTTTACCTCAGTTTCTTCATCTGTTACATGAGCTAGAGAAGGAAATGGCAAACCACTGCAGGATCTTTGCCAAGAAGACCCCAAATGGGGTCACAAAGAGTTAGACACAACTAAAAATTGACATAACAACAATAAAAACTCCCCCATTAGATAGTGAGCTCTTAGATATCAGGGACTGTCTTTTGCCTTTCTTTGCATCCCCAGTGATTAGCACATAGTAGGTGTAACAAATACTAGTTGACTGACTTTCCCAGAGTCCACTCAGAGAACTTTTCTGCTCTAGGGCAGCTAGATGGTGCAGGGGACAGAGCACTGTCCCTAGAGTCAGGAAGACCTGAGTTCACATCCTACTTCAGACACTTATTAGCTGTGTGACTCTGGGCAAGTCACTTAATCCTGTTTGCCTCAGTTTTCTCATCTGTGACATGAGCTGGAGAAGAAAATGGAAAACCACTACAGTATCTTCTCCAAGAAAACCCAAATGGGGTCTTGAACAACAATAAACTCTGTGGAGATTCCGCTTCCCTGTTGCATACCTTTCTCCTTTTCCCGACTCTGCCTTCTTCAGCTTTTTGTCTAGGTCTCTAACCCCTGTGTCTTTCTTTTCCCTCAGTGTGTGTGATGTATACTCAAGGAATGGAGAACAAGCAATGGAGAGAGGTAGGTACCACTGCTCTCATTCCTCAATAAATGCATTCATTGGTCTATCATCTATCTGTTTCTCTGTCTCTATCTCTGTCTCTGTCTTTTAGCTGGGGAATTTCTCGGGAACAATAAGGTTAGTCAATTACTCAATTAATGACTATTTATTAAGGGCCTCATATATACCAGGCACTATGCTGAGTGTTTGGATACAGAGACAAAAATGAAACAGTCCCTGCCTTCAAGGAGCTTACATTCTTTTTAAAAATTTTTTATTCATTTTGAACTTAAATACAAAAAGACAACCCCCCCACCCTATTTCCCTGTACACAGCACAACACAAAAAGAGTATTCCATATAAATCCACGAATCTCTATTTCACACTGTTTGCTTTTTTTGAAAAAACAAAACTATGTAATAAATGCTATGCATTATTTTCAAAGTTACCCTGCTTTTCTTTGCTTCCTTCTAAGTTTTCTTCTGTTCTCTGCTATGCACTTGGGCTTACATTATAATAATGGAGATAATGCGGACACAAATATACACCATATAGGGATAAAGATTGAGTCTTGATTTCATTGGCATAGGGAATTCCAGGTGAGGAAATTCTCTCAGGTTGGCACACTTACAGTGTTAGAGAGTTGCCTAGAATACTCAGAGGTTGTGACATGTCCAGGGTCATGCAGAGATAGGTGTCGAGCCCATGTCTTTCTGGTACCAAGGTCAGTTCTTTATCCACCAACTCAAGGTATTATGAAAAAAAAAAGCCAAATTTACAATGTACCAAATATACCACAAATACAAGGGAATTTTTGGAGGGAGACACCAGCAACTGGGGCAATCTAGAAGGGCCTCATGTAGGAGGTGGCCCTTGAGCTGAACTTTGATGGAATCCAGGGATTCTAAGGGGCAGGGGTGAAGGAGTGCATTCCAGGCATGAAGGATAGTCACTTCACTGACAAAAATGGGAGATGGAATGTGGTATAGAGGGAACAGTGAGAAGACCAGTTTTGCCAGAAGATGAAGTCCATCAAGGGGAGAATATGAAATGAACCTGGAAAAGTAGGTGGATCAAGGTTGTAATGAGCTTGCAATGCCAAACAAGAGAAGTTTGCATTTGATCCTGGAGGTAATAGATAGCCATTGGAGAGTACTGAACAATGGAGAAATGTGTGCAGACTGTGCTTTAAGAATATCTCTTTAGTAGCTTAGTGGAGGATGAATCGAAAAGGGGGTGGGGGGACAGACTAGAGGCAGGGGGACCAATTAAAAGGTTACTGCAGTAGTCCAAGAGACGATGAGGGACTCTGATCTAGGGTGTTGGGTGGAAAGAAGGGGCTGGATAAGAGAGAATTGGAGCCAGAATCAACACAACTTGGCGACTGAGTTAGATTTGTGGGGTGAGGGACAAGAAGAGTTGAGGTTAACACTGAAGTTGCAAACCTAGGTAACCGGAAGAATGGCGGAGCCTTGACATCTTGCTTGGGATCAGGTGCTAAATAAATGCCTGTTGAGGTCCCAGGCTGATGAAATCTTTTGGGAAATGTGTCACTTATCTTCCTCCATTGGCTCCCCATTGTACGTGAAACTAAGTTCAAATTATTTAACCTGACATTCAAGGGGGCTCCACAAATTAGTCCTGCCCTGCACTGCCCTGCCCTGCTTCTTCAGTTTTATGTTCTACTATGCCCCTCCAGTTATTATTCAATGAAGACTTTGCAAACCTTAAACTTTTGTTTTCAGGCTTGCAAGGCACTTAGCAAATATTATCTCCAGTTATTGGGGATGAGTGGGTGGATGAGATGGAGGTGGAATAGGGGAATACTTGATCAATTTCAGGAATTATCCAATCGACCTGATGAGAATGCAGCCTTTGGGTCATTGTTTTCTCATGGCCTATAAAAGCAAGCTGGACCACCCTCTTTCTGTCTCTGATTTTTCCGTTAGGCTTTTACCCCTCTTATTTGTAGCAAGCAATGTTGGGGAGGAAAGCGGGAGCTCCCTCATGCATCCTTTGGCTCAGGATTCCCCCAGAATTTTGGGCTCACACTGAGTCTGATCCTTTATCTGCCACCTTGCAGTAACTTTATATTTCTATTAAGCCAGGCTGTTGACTATTCCCAAGGTAGGCTTTATAATTATAATAACAACAACTAGCATTTATTAGTGCTTTAAGATTTGCAAAGCACTTTAAAAATGTGATCTCTTTTTATGGTCACAACAATCCTGGGAGGTAGGTGCTGTTGTTTCCCCATTTTACAGATGAGGAAACTGAGGCAAAGGTTAAGTGACTTGTCTAGGGCCACACATCTAGTTTCTGAAGCAGGATTTGAACTCAGGTCCTTGTGACTGCAGGGCCAATGCTCTAGCCACTGCATTACTTAGCTATCCTTTTGCCTTCTGGATTCCTGTTCCCTTTTTCTAGAATGCTCTCTTTCTCCAGTGTGGCCTCTTGAAATGATGTAAATTTTTCAAGGCCCAGGTCAAATGCTGTATCTATGGGATAATAGAAGGAGCTCTGGATCACTCTAAAGCCTCAGTTTCCTTGTCTGTAAAATAGGCATAGGAATTCTCTAAAGCCTCAGTTTCCTTGTCTGTAAAATGGGCATAGGAGTACTTGCATTACCTACCCCACATGGGACTATTGGGAGAAAAAGTGCTCTGTCCTTTAAGTGCTATAAAGATGTGACCTATTATTATGAAGAGAGGCAGTGTTGCCTTGTGGTTAGACTCAGGAAGAACTGGATTCAAATCCCAGGCTGGGTAACCCTAGACAAATCCCTTAGCCTCTCAAAGCCATAGGCAACCCTTTAAGACTGTAAGTGGTTGAACAGTTGCTTTAATTGAATTGGTGAAGGGAGTTTCCTCCTTGGGAGTTCCCTAGGCCAATGAATTAGGGTCTAGATTGAATGAATGGAAAAAAAAAAGCATTTATTAAGCACCTACTGTGTGCATAGCACTGTGCTAAGTGCTGGGGTACAAATAGACCTCTAAGACAGTCCAGTTTTCAAGGAACCACATTCTAATGAGGGAGACAATGCAAACAAAAGGTTTCAGCCCGGAGCTAGAAGGGACCTCAGCCATCAGTTTGGTCCAAGTCCCTCCTTTTTACATTTAAGGGAAGTTAAACCCAGGAAGGCAGAATTGAGATTTAAAGCCCTGTCCAATGATTCCATATTCAACCCTTCAAGTTCATTGCCCTTTTTTCTGCCTCTCACAGGTCTCCTGGACCAGTAGCCTCCATCCATCCATGACTTCTCACTCCTCTAAACTCCTTCGGGTTCATATTTATACCACTTACTACCTTACATTACATTTATTTGTGTATGTCTACAATTCTCTGCTAGAGGCAGCTAGGTGGCTCAGTGGATAGCCTGCTGGGCTTAGAGGCAGGAAGGCCTGAATTAGAATTCAGCCTTAGATACTTATCCTAGGTAAATCATTTAACTGCTGTCTCTCAGTTTCCTCAACTGCAAAATGGGATAATAATAGCACCTTTTCCCCAGATAGGTTATAAGAATCAAATGTTTAAAAAAATGCTTAGCCTAACACATAATAGGCACTCTTATAGATATTTCTTCCCTTCCTAGATGGTAGGCTCTGTAAGGCCGAAGACTGTGTGTTATTTATCTCTTCATCCCTTTAGGGACTCATAATTAGTAGGCACTCAGTAAAAATGTTTGTGGAAGGCATGCATGAATGATTGAATAACTGACAGGCCGATCCCAAAGGAACCTTTCAATTTAAATAGGGAGAAGACAGAACATCACTGAAGAGTCACCACAGAACACTTTTTGACAAACCAACCTATTGACAGGTGGGCGCATTAACAGATAGTAGAACAGAATGAATTCAGATTTCACTGATGCAGAACTTCCCATCACTCTACTAGGGCTGAAAAATGACTTTACTAAGCACATTACAATGGTGTAAACAAGACTGTCTGGGTAGTGTTTAAGCCTGCTTAAGAGAATAAATTGTTTTTTGAGTAGTTGGGGGACATCCTGCATACAAACAAAGACTGTGCTCATTTTAACATGATCCTTCCCTCTTCTTTAAAAGTGGCCTCGAAAGTCCTGGGAGGACACTAATTTGTCAGCCATTACTTTGTGGTACTGAGTACACTTGAAAGTAACGACTATTTCTTTATGGAATGGTTTATAGTTCAGGTTTCCCTTCCCTGCAGGTGGTCTGGTTTTACTGTTGTCGTCGTTTGGTGTTTTTTTCAGTCACGTCCAGCTCTTCATGACCCTGTCTGGAGTTTTCTTGGCAAAGATCCTAGAGTGGTTTGCCATTTCCCTCTCCAGCTCATTTTACAGATGAGTAAACTGAGGCAAGCAGGCATAGTGACTTGCCCAGGGTCATACAGCTAATAAGTGTCTGAGGCCAGATTTGAACTCAGGAAAGATGAGTCTTTCTGACCCCATTCCTGGCTCTTTATACACTGTTAAAAGAGTGTAGTTCAGGGAAAGAGCATTGGATTTCACATCAGAGGGCCTGGTTTCAAATATTGCCTTTGACACTATCGGCATGACTGTGGGCAGGTCAAGTAAACCCTCTGGCTTCAGGTTCTCTATTTGTTAAATGAGGGGGTCAGACTAGATCAGAAAGGTCAAATGTGGCTGACCCACCACACCCCCTTGTGTGACCTGGAACCAGATTAAGATGTAATTGGGAAATTAACAAAATAAATAAAAATACAATAAAACATAGATAATATTACATTTTAAAACTGTCAAAATGTAGCTGGCAGGAATCCCTGCATCTGGATTAGTGGTCCAGTTTCTATTTGAGTGTGACTCCATTGGTAGACATGACCTTTGAGGTTCTATTCTAAAACTATGATCTTTTCAGTGCATATTTTTGGTGGAGATTGAAGTGGATGACAATTGGTCTGGTCTGTGGCTTATGTTCTTGGAGAGTTGTCTGGGACACTGGGATCACGTGTGGCAATATTTTACATGATGGCAGCAGCTGGGTGGTGCAGTGGAAAGAGGACAGGCCCTGGAGTCAGGAGG